AGTTGGAAGACGTTCTGAAATTAAGAATCAACTTAGACCGTTATGACTGTGGTCACAATGAAATCAAACAGTTACTAATTCTCTTGGACTCATTTTATTCACAGTTCTTCGTGTGAAATTTCTACGACGTTCTCCTACAACCAATCTTTGCGTTGTGCTTCCCAATAAAATCCGTTTTCATGAGAACGTGTGATCTTCTCTGTTGATGTCGTCCAGTTCAAATGAAGCATATCGCCCTCATCCTTTCTCGAAGCTGACTTCTGAAGCATAGATGATGGAAACTGTATAAGCCGGCATCACATCTAGCGTAAGTGTCCTGTGCTAGTTGGGAGCGACAATTAGGTAGCTCATGCCCGTAATATCCGGCTGTAGTTACTGTGTTACTTTTTTTCTTATTTGCTGCCTACAATAGTTTTCACGGCAGGGAATTATGTGTGATACAACCACAATGGTGCTGAGATATTTGCAAAACTCCGGAATGCAGGTGTCTGCGGAAGGCGAAAGGACCGCAGATCTGAAGTTTTGCAAACATCTCAGCATCATTGTGGTTCTATTTCGCATAACACCCTGCCGTGAATATTCTACTAGGCAGCAAGCAAAAAAAATTAACATGATGATTTCAACTACGGCCTCAGCTTAACTGGATTCAATGCCGATTTGGGGTCTCCAGGTCGATCCCGTTGACGGGTGACTGCTGATGGCACTGATCGATAGAACTAGCCGAGAGACAGGCGAAATGATGGACCCGCATAGTGTGGTGGTGAAAGCGTTAGCCCACGGAAAAGGTAATAGAGCATTCGTTCACCACCGCAGACACTTGCGGTCCGGTGTTTTGCAAATATCTCAGCATCTTTGTGGTTGTCAACAACCTACTGGAAATTTTCACAATTTTTCTGAAATCAGTAGACTTAGACCTGCTAAACCAATATACCAAGGAGTCCATATAGCCGCGAAATATTAATTGGGTAAGGAGACTATTAAGCGCGCATTTATTTAAAAACACTCCAAGTGTTGTGTATAATATAGCGCAGTGTTCACCAAATTCCTCTAAGGAATATGAAATCGTTGGTTCTATTCCGTCGCGACTACATCTTTCATCCATTCGGAGGCACTAAATTGCACCAAACTTGTACAGAAGGAGAAAAACAGTGATTTTATTCAATAGTAGGTTGCTGCAAATCCTTGTGTAGATTAAGTACGCGTTCAATCACCTCAGAAATTCTTAAATTTCGACTCATCGCTAATAGAATGATAAATATCACTTACAAATGTCTTCTATAGTGGTATACGTTGACGTACCTTACCAGGTATAATATATTTTGTAATAAATCAATGGAAATCACATGCGGATAACGCGTCACAGTTCATGTACAACTTTACAAAATTCATGCGGAGACCAAATTTCTTTCGAAGTTTATTGAAAAGCACATAAGAGATAAATAAACGAGATAAAGCTATCGTATGCATATAGATATAAAATCTTCGGCTCAACAGACTGAACGGTTCTGGTTACCTTATAGATAACACCCTCTTATACAAGTTCTTTCGTAGCATTAAATATTCTCTTAACGTAATGAGAACACAATAACAATAGAGGAGTGCAGAAAAGCCAATTTTAGCACGAAATTTTTCTTCAGTATAGTGCAAGATTCGAGAGAAAGGCGAAAGATGTTAGTTTCGCTCCAGCTCATAGGAAATTTGGATCGGAGCACATCTTTCTTCTTACGAGTGATATTACGGTTGAAATTTTATCGTAAGAGTTACACACCATTATGAATGCCGTGGCTACCTCGTTGAAGAGAAGAATGATGACATTTGACAATTTTCGCGACAATGTGCATTGATATTAATGCATTCATAACGGATGTTCGTTTAAGCCTTTAAACTTAAACAACCATGTCGTTGCGCGTTGTGATACTACTGGTAGAAAAAAAACTCTCGAGGCACTCTGGATTAATTCCAGAAATCCGAAAATGAACCGCAGGGAAGAATGCCTCATTATCACGCGTGATATAGGGCAGTATATAAAACTGCTTTTCTGATATGAGGGGCACATTATACTTTCATGTGATTTCTGTGCGGTTGCTCTCTACGTGGCATACTTAGTGGAAACCTCATAGGAAGCGGTGAGTGTGCAAAGCTGTGTTCAACGTGATTAAAATCTTGGTTTAGAGTTTCTTTGTTTCGTTATGGAGGCGACTGGCCGAAGATTGCTATCAACTTGACCTTTCCAGGCTCTGAGAAAGGCGAAATCCGCCGAAACGTCAGCTTAATCGTGAACAAAGAACAATAACACCTCGCGTTTGCTCAACAAAAATACGGAGAAAATTACTTGATCAATGCCGAGGTTAATAGAAAGTCGGCCGTGGCAGTTACTACTGGTAGAAATGAAAGACATCGATCTTTGCTAAAATAAAACTGACGAATAAATATTCTAACAGAATAAGATTGTGATTTTTCCGGTTCCACATATCTAGATATGCTCGCTTTTTCTGTCTCTCTTGTCTCGAACATTGAAATGATTCTACAAGGAGTATTTTGGCAAATACGCCGCGATGTTGATTCCTGAGTGCCCCGCAGATGTTTGCGGTTTCTGCACTTGTGCTGCAAATAATTTTTAATTGAATTTCTTAAATTCCTCTGGAAGTTTCATTTATAATGTTTTGAAAAAATGAGCATGTTTTAGGACCGAAGCGGTCTCTTCTACCAGCAGTTCACCAACTCACAAATCCTCTAGTTAGGAAACATCGCCAATTACAGTTATTATATTTTAGCAAACCAATATCGTTAAAGATAAAAAGGTTAAGGATAAAGCTTCTAATGCAGTTCTAAAAATTTCTAAAAAAAAAAAAAATTTCTAGGCTTTGACCAATCGCAGAGAGATGCGCCATGCTTTCAACTTCATTAAGCATCGTTTGGAGGTGATTGAATGCATATCTGGCCTTTACAATAACTCGCAGTGGCTTTCCGATGTATCAATCTAGCGCTGCTTGACAAGTCTGGTATCAATTTGCTAACCCGAGAAGGATGGAAGACTTAGCCATGGGTGCGGAGATCGATTCTACGTGTTTTACAGGGAGACTCCAACCACTGCGCCACACGGGCTTTGTCGTTAAAGATATGGTAAGTAATATAAAACGTTAGAAAATTCACCTCTTCTTGATCCTAAGCATAAGCCTCGACTTGACCGCCTTTAATAATTATAAATCCCTACACACCTTTATGAAAATTTTTTAACATTCTGTTCCACAAATGTCAGTCTTGAAGTCTTAAATCCTTACAGAAAAAAAAAGAAATTCTTTCTTAAAGAGCTGAACAAAATAGACTAAACACTGGGTTCTGATAAAACAATGTCAAGCGGAATTTCCGGTCTCAGTTATTTATGGCTGTTACGATTTGAAACATCTGTTCGTAACCTTTGTGACTATGAACGGTTACTAACGAAAACATGACCGTGAATCATCAACATACCAGTTCTCCTACCGTAATTGTACTCCAACTTCCCACATAACAGTAGACGATTAGGCGCACTTTCGTTTGAAAATCTTCTGTTAAAACCTCATTATGGATAACCTATGCGCATATCTCTCCACTAACGACGATATAAATAGTGAGCAGTGTAGCGCGAAATTCATTCATTCAGTTAAAGTAAAAATCTTGTTATTATCCTCAAAATTACCACATAGCTGGCTTCCCATACCGTAATCACAAGAAGCTGATGAAGTGGATTCGAATTCGTTAGCATTCGCTAATTTTAACCATTCTTCTGTTCGAATGCCACATGAGGATCAACTTTCTCTTTACTTGACCTGGACTCATCTATTGTGTAGCAATCCTGAATTCTTCCATTCACTTCATCTTTTCGTAGTCACTGTCACTGAAAGTTTTCGTATTCGCACCTTGATGCGAATACGAAAACCTTCAGTGACAGTGACTACGAAAAGATGAAGTGAATGTTCTCTCTTACAAAGTTTAGCTTTCATTACGTATCTGGAAATCTTCATTTTATGGAGTTCATTCGATAGCTCATCCACCATTGTTAAGCAGCTTTTTCTAAAGTTGCTACGGCTCGTTACAGCCTGTGTTCCTTCAAAAGAAATTCCAATCATCTCTTTACAAAATATGTTTTATGTGTTTTCGCTATCGCGTTTGTGAAAATTGCTGATTATTGACGGCTACTAACAAGCCATTCTTGTTGTATAATATTTGCCAAGACCACGAGGTTGTTACGTCAAGTTCTTGTCCGCTCATGAATAAGGCATTAATTGATAAATAGTTTGCATCAAGAAACTGTTCACTAGTACGTTTACGCCCACTTCTAGGATGATATTGTTCAGTTTTATTTGTGTGCTCTTACTCTACGCTAACGGTGCCAAATCTCAGGTGAGTTGGATCTTTCTATTAGAACCACAACGTTGCTGAGATATTTGCAAAACTCTGGACCGCAGGTGTCTATGATGGGGAACGAACGCGCTATTGTCCTTTCCGAGGAATAACGCGTTCACCACCACACCATGCGGGTCCTTTGTTTCGCCTGTCTCTTAGCTATTTCTATCGATCTTTGCCACAGCAATCACCCGTATTTCGCTTAGTACCCTGCCGCGAAATTATAGTAGGCATAAAAAGGTATAACTTTCTATTAGAATTTGCATCACTTCACTTTATTCATACATCGGGCTGAATGAAGCCGGAGTTATGTTTCGAAAACTGGTTCGACTGGCAGAACGACTATATTTATTTGTCATCGAAGAATGTTCTGCGAATTACCTCTTTAAATCAGAAGCATTTTAAAACAGAACAAAAAAATGCCTTCAGGGTTACTGCTGTGATGAACCGATGCTGAGATACACCTTTTTGAAATCTGCATCTAGGGAAGCAAGGAAAGCTTTTCAAGCCATTACCCTTGTGAGTAGCAGGATTTCAGTCCGTCCAACTTAAATAGTTCTATTTAACGTAGAAACATTAATGATGTCGGGCTTCAAACTGGAAATATTTAGGATATGTATACGATACCAAGAAGTAATGCGTCGACGAAGATGCAGCAATGGGCGGCGAAGTACAATATGACGGTAAGTCATCCTTATTTGCTGCTACTAAGGAATTAATACTTTGAGAAATACAAACAACATCTCGAGTTCTTTAAAAAACATAGTTTTAAAATCTAATATGTCAATATGTAACCATAACTTTAAGGTTTTCAACAGTCGCTTTTTTCACGTCTGCACCACGATACACCCCAGTCTGAATCAGAATCTCATTGAAAGAAATCCTTGTAGAGGTCTTCACCTGTGGTTTTCTTCTAATATAGTTCATATTAATGCTTCAGGTCCAATTAAATGAACATCTTAAAAACAAAGTCAACGGAGAACAGGAGAGGCAGAAGGCAATCAGTTCTGTTCTTCTGCAATTGCCCGAATTTCTCACGAAAATAAACAACATAAAAGAGGATCAGGTGCAGTTTTATTCTCCAGTAAAATACCTAAGTCGTAGATTGGTAAAAATCTTTACGAAACTCAACTTTTGTTCAGAATTTGTCGGAAATGGAGGTTAGTCAGGAACTGAACAAACTGTTTAATACGGCGAATCGAAATTTGGCCGACGTGGCTTGCTGCATCTACGGGCAAATTCTTAATCCCAACAGTTTTTATCAGGGCAGTTACTACTACGTCAATGATGACGATTTCGACGAAGACGATGAGATGATGCATGAAGGCAGTTACCCACGGCACTACGCTGGCTTTGACCTGAGTCCAAAACATAGAGGACGTAAACGTTAACTATTGAAGGCGTCAATAAAGAGCCCCTCTCAACTCATGCCACTCATTCGCTCTTCACGTACGAAAATGTTTACTTTCTTGTTCTTCGTGACAATTCTTTCGAAATGAAGTATTTAATTTCTGTATGAAAAGATTTCATTTAAACAACGCATACAAATATAGCATAAATTGAATGATCCACGAAGCGTAGTACTGTGTACAAAACGATACGAACATTTTCAAATTAATTTCGGTTGAGAATTTTTCACCTCCAAGATAATTGACAAGGTTAGCGGTGTTGATCCTGAAGAATGCGCCATGCATTCGACTGCATTCGTAGCACCATAGCGTTGCTTAAATGCGTATCTGGCTTGAACAGTGACTTAAGGTTGCTGATGCATTAATTCACTATTTTTCTAATCTCGCGAGACAAGTACTTTACCGACCCCGGAGAAATAAGGCCGAGATAATTCTGGGCTATGGGATCAAGCGAACAACCTTGTGAGTATTGCAAACCATCTCTAACCACTTCGCTATCCGCACTCGAAACGAAACCGATGACATGATTTGTTCTACATTTGCTGGTTACACATTTATTCAATTACTTTTTCAATGTTTCACGGTCCAGCAATTCTACTGTTATCACTAGCAAAGTACGTACGTCTTAAAATACTAGTACTATTTCAATAGCACCATGACAGCTCATAGGAGAGCTCCTTGACTTTTTGAGAGTGTTACTCTATACAGAGTGCTATTTCTTTGAAATGCCCGCTCCTGATTTTTTTCGGAAAGAAACTTTCATTGATTGAGAAAGTAATAGCTGCGATGTATACGAGACAACATAGTGCTAGCGCGTGTGGCGAAGTGGACGGAGGCACCCTGCAACACACACATGGGATCGATCCCCATGCACAACGCTCACCAAGCCTTCCATACCTCCAGGGTTGGCAAATTGGTACCATACTTGGTACATTGGTAGACCACCGCGAGTCATTGGAAAGGCCAGATATGCATCCAGTCATCTCAAACGATGTTCAATGAAATCGAATGCATGGCGAATCCTGCAGGGATTGATTAACGCCAAGAGCTCTATTCTTTTTTTTATTACGAGACAACAATGCAACTCTTTTAACAGGAATTTCTTTCAGAGAATCGAAACTGAGATTTTCGAGGGAACTCTTCAAGGTTAAAGGTTGCCAAAGAATGCGCATCTAGCCAAACTGGCGTGTATCTCTTGAGCAACTGCAAAAAACTGTATTCCTCCATTTCTGATATGGAGCATACATATTCCTATATACATATCTCTTGAAAGCATTCGTTTTTTCCGGTAGTATTTCCTACCATTTTATCGAGAATAAGTGATCTTTAATAGACGAAAAAGCCATGAGATCGCCATATGAAGGTTTACTTATATATCAAACACAAGAAGCGACATTATTCTATAATCACCATGGATAAAGAGAGCAAGAAGTGCAACGGTTGAAGATGTGCGATGGGCCAACAAAGTTAACTACCAAACGGTGATAGGAAAAGTGGTGCCAAACTTTTTTGAAGAACATCTCTTCCTCAAAAGACGGACTTTCTATAAACTTCGGTATAAATAATTGATATATCTATTTGCATTTCTTATGAACTAACCGCGTTTAACTGATGCAAGGTTGGTATAGTTGCCGTTCTTGTCGTTGTCGTTGTTGTTGATGTTGTTGGTCGATGGCTGACATTTCGGCGATTTCGCCTTCCTCAGAGCCTGGACGTATTTTATATCAGAATACTTTCATTATTCGGTGGACAAAAGGCCAAAGTATTAATGAAGATTAGACTTTTAAATAGACGCCATATTGAACAGGAAGGCCACTCACCGTGATGGTACGTGCGGGACTGGCCCACGCGTTGTTTTCGTGGAGTCGTGAGCAAGACACACCCCGGGGTCAAAATATCATTTTGAAATAGGGCGCCAGGTCACGCGTGATAGCGAGGCATTCGTCTTTCCGGTTCATCTTTGGATCCTTGAAATTTATCCAAAACGCCCCAAGAGTTTTTCGCGTTGATGTTTTTGATTCCTGCGCTTGGATCCGCACAGTCACTTCAAAATCGTCGTCGTTGTGCTTTTGTGCCCTATACGTACCTAGAGGAGTGTTTTGACGTATTTTAGCTTTCCTATCTAGATAAATATACTTTTATGCGGACACAAAGTGGCCTACCCGTTTCTCCAATATATTCCTCTCCGCATGCGTTACATGAGATCAAGTATATTATACCTAAACTAATGCAATCTCCGTCTCTCCCGTTAGGACAGATCATACAGTTTTCTGAGCTGCACAAACGATCATAGAGACAGTTTCGAACTAGCTGACAGCATAGAGTATTGGGTGGGATGCCAATAATGCATAATTTTCAAGACCACTTTTTCTTAAGCACCTCTTAATGGCGTGACTCTATTTGATATGAAGGATAGCTTAAAGGGAATCTTACTTTCGTCTGAAATATTATTTTGGGAAACTACCCAACGTTTTCCTCTAACTCGAGTGGCCTCTACTTCGTAGCCGTTGGAAATGGCAATTTTTCATACCAGGTTTAGTGATTCCTTCCCTTCCTCTTCTCCTGTACACACATTTTTAGCCGTACGGTACATGTTTTTGATAAGTGCCTTTTTCATGCGTGAAGGATGAGAGGAGAGGTAGTGAACTAGTATGTTTTTACTACTTGGCTTACGATACCATTTTGTTATATAGCCACTTTCTGAGAGCTTTATTTGGATGTTTAAGAATGGAAGTCAGCTTTCGGTTGGTTTTTATCGTGTAAATTTTATATGCTCTGACTGTCGGCTTAACAATTCAAAGCACTCATCTATCTGTTCTTGTGTGGGACAGGCGATGAAGCAGTCGTCTATGTACCGACAGTAAAGGGTCGGCGATCGAGAGCTAGAGCTTCCACCTTGTATATAAAGGCTATCGCCTTAGAAGGTTTGGCGCTAATCGCTGTCGCATGGCAAGCCTTCCAATTTGAGCAAAATATTTTTCAGACCTCCTGAAGATTGAACAACTAAGACACCGTTTTAAGAGAGAGTCATTAGTTGCGCAATCGAGAAGCCATACATTTTCATTTTTCCTCCATACCTCACGGGCAGCTCGAAAATACATTGCTGAGTCATTCGATATATTGGTATAAAGTGAAGTAACATCGAACGACTCCGTTACACGCGTGCTGTTTAGTTGCGCGCACCCTATGTGGAATATTTTGGTATTGAAGAGATGGGTTGGTATGAACGTTAGGAGAAGAAAATTAAAATTGTCAAACCACTCCTTTAGGTACACATAAGGCAGAATAGCACAATAGCGAAGATTTTGAAGTGACTGTTATTCCAGCGTAGGAGTCAAAAACATCTAGGCGCAAGACTGTTGCGCGGTTGTGGAGAAATTCCAAAAAACCTGAGATGAACCGGAAAGACGAATGACTCACTATGACAAGTGACCTAGCGCCTTATTTTCAAATGATATTTTGATCAATTGGTGAGTCTCGCTCCACGTGAACAATGCGTGGGCCAGTCCCACTCGTAACATCACGGTGAGTAGCTTTTTTGACCAATATGGCGTTTATTTAGAAGTTTGGTCTTCACTAATACTTCGGCTTTTCCACCGAATTATTAAGCCATTCTTGTACAAAATGCGTCCAAGTTCTGAGGAAGGCGAAATCACTGGAACGTTAACCATCGACCAACGCCAACATCAACGACAACAACGACAAACAACAACAGCGGCAACAACAACAACAGCAAGAGCGGCGACTTATACTAAACTCGCACCAGCTAAACGAGATCAATTCATTGGAACACATAAAGGAATATTTCTTACAACGAATGGCAGCTTCACGTGGCAGGAAACCGGGAACGCCTAGAAAACTATCCCAGAATTCCATGAAGAAATCCTACTCGTTCAGCATTCAACGACATTCCTGAAGAGGTCCTCAATTAGTAGTCGAATCCATAAGCAAATGCAAACATCTTCGTGCATGACGGAAGAGCGAACACAAGCGAAACGATTGGAAAAAGTGCTGGAACCGGCACCAGTGTGTGAAGTTGTATGATACAAGTACACAAACCATAGTGTATTAGTTAGTTAGGTGAGGTGTGTTCATTGCATCAACTGATTGAGCAGATTATGTCACTTTGTTCAGTTTAGAATGGTCGTTTTGGCACGAGTCACCATGCGAGACTGCTCGTGATGGCCGCAGAATGAACTTCAATCTCGAGTAATTAAACCACTCTTCTCATTTGAGGAGATGGCTCACTGAGGAAGACCCGACTCGACACGAAGGCGAAGCTGCCACGTCGAGACAAATAACAAGGGTGGACCATCGAGTCGGATCATCGGCTCTGAGGAAGACGAAGACGTCGAAACATTAGCCGAAAATAAATATCATTATCAACCTCGTGTAAGCTCATCAAAGAAAGAATACATAAACCTCTCTTTATTTCATACAATGAAAACAAAAGGTAGTCTCAGAAAAACACAACTGTAATTAGTGTAAAGAGATACGGAAAATCCTCTATGTGGTAGAAAACGTTCTTTATGACAGATACTGTAATTAGCGACAAGCGCTGATCTTCCTTTGGAGAATGATTCCGTGTTCATCTAGTCCTTCAAGGTCAGAGAAAAAGAACAAACATCATAAACATCACAAATTATTCAAAGAATTTATTCAATCATATATTTTGGTAAGGAGAGAGCAACAACGTTGAAGTTCGTATACAGGTAAGTTGCAGTAACGTAACAACAATGTTGATCAATTTTAGTTTAGTTCTGCTTGGAAGGATTAACAGCATAGAATGCGCTATTTTCGGTCTAACCGATCAAAGACATCAATTAAAGAAAGGTAAAAGTAAGGTGTGCGGAAGTAAGCAATAAGGAAATATTATCTGAACTATGACTGATGGAACACAAACAAGTGCCTTTGATGAAGCAGATATGGATAGTTGTACTATTATTATTACATACTGGGCACCCAATTGCAAACTAAGCTGGCTGGTGATTCGTGAACCATAGCCCTGTAATGGATTATCAATCTTCAGTTAATAAAAATTTCTTAGAAACTGCCGACGGAAAAGTAGATTTTGGTGTCCACCAGCTTTGTTAGCAAATGGAGATCGTACACTAACCACCAAGCCATGAAATCAGTGAACTGAATGGTAGTAAGGTGTTAAATACATGTTCTCTTTACAAATTCATAAGATCATTTAGAGGCAAGTAAGAGAAAACAACTTGACTGTCATCACTGATTACCGCGAGAAAGCAGTTAACAATGTTTGCAAACCATACGACTTGGCAATGCTAGTCAGAGTTTAAAACATGAAAGATGGTCTCGAATGTGAAGAACATAACAACTGACCAGACGATTTTTGCAATAAAAATCGACTTTCGTCTAATAATACTTCACTCGTAAAACACATTGAGCACTTGAATTTCGCCCGTTGAGAATGTCTGTGTGCAGGAGTCCGTCATGCGACGAGCCGAGATGGGTGGAGTACATGCTGCGCTACGGTCACCGTTACCTGGTTGCACGTACGCGACTGGCAGGTTACGGCCACTGGCACGAGCTGTGGTACGACATGGACTTCCGCAACCAAAGGAGAGCGGTGGTGGACGTGTAGGACTGGCCAGCAAAACCTGTGAAATATTACAGTATGCAAAACCATATTTGAATTACGTGCTCGCATAAAAATACACGAAAACGAATACCTCAATGCATTTATCCTCAAAAAGACCTCGTAAATGCACAGGAATTAGATTTGAAAGCGTTTGATAAAGTGCTGACAAAAGGCAGTGCGCTTCTTCAACACAGGAAAGCAGCAGTTCGTCATTCATCGGACGAATTCCCCAACTGAACCGGAAGACATTGGAGTCGAAATCATGTTTTTGAATTCTCAGAAAGCAAAAACAACAACTCACTTCGGGGACTGACTTAACTTTCGAGGAGTTACGTCGCTCATCATTATAGATTGAGGATAGTAAACGCGTTGAAGATTGACGAATGATATCGAGCGAAGGTCATGAAGCGGCTTACCGAACTTGTCATGCTGGAGGATGGAATGTGCCACCTTAACATATTCTCCATTAGTATTGTATTACTAAATAATAAAAGAATAAAGCTCTCAGCGTTGATCAATCGCTGAGGGATGCGTCATGCATTCGAATCCCTCAAGCATCGTTTGGAGGTGATTGAATGCATATCTAGCCTTTACAATGACTCGCGATAGCCAACCGATGTATCGAGCCAGTGCTACTATCCTCGCAGGCAAGTCTGGCACCAATTTGCCGACCCCAGAGGGATAGGAGGCTTGGTGGGTCCTGGACGCGGGATCGATCCCCATGTGTGTTACAGAGCGCCTCCGACCACTGCGCTACATACACCCATTCTACTATCAAGTTCAAAAAAATATCGATAAAAAGCAGAATGCACCTGGGTATCGAAAATATTGACCATATGTACAGCATACTTATGCGCAAGCAAAGATCCAACACGACGTGCGTCATGGATCACCTAAATAAATGATAGTATACTAGAAGAACACAGTATGAAGACTAAAAGCAAAAGAACGTGTATAGCATAAACCACAGAATATAGCGTCTTAGAGATGCAAGTACAACAAACACAGATATTTCCTATACAAATAAAATAGAGTAAGATGGATTACTCTAAGGTAAATCTGCAGGTAATTGTGAACGACACAGCTATGAACTATAAAACATGAAATGTTCAGGCTGAAATGTCGCATTCATAGGCAATTATGACTGAATAATAACTATAGAGTCAGCATAATGACATGATTTTTCAATTCATATGCTATAAGAAGGGTACTGACACTCAGAAATGCCAAATACAGAAGCCAATAACAGAGCTGGTCAAGAGAGGTCATCCATAACACAGCAGGAAACGGTTAGAAGCAACTATTAAGCAACTACTTGTGCTTCCCAGATCAATCCCGCTGACGGTAGATTGCTGATGGTAAAAGATCGATAGAACTAGCTGAGAGACAGGCAAAGCGAAGGACCCGGATGGTGTGGTGGTGAAGTGTGCTGCTCCCCGGTAAGGACAACAGCACGTGTTCGTTCCCCACCGCATACACCTGCGGTCCGGAGTTTTGCAAATATCTCAGCATTATATACGAACTATTAATAGATCTTAATATTGACAGCAATTGTGTTAATAGCAATAGTTACAATGACGATTCATATGCTCAGTAACTCATTCAATAACAATAAGTGGAAAACTTCACGCGACAAGTCGAGAAGAGGTTTGACATGCACCTTTGTAACTGAGTTGCTCTCAAGTATGTCCCTTAGACCGCTCTCCATTATGATCACGTCACTTGAAGCGAGATCAAACACACCGATTTGGAACTGAGTGGCGACAACACCTAAATAACTATCATTTCATAAATAGGTTGTTGTGGCACATCTTACAGAGAGCGCCCACCCATCGCTCCACCTGGATTTGCGCAGCATGAATCAATTTCTTCTAGCACAGTTATACTAAGGCTGATAGCGCCTTGGTTGTGATGTCGTTCATCATGAGTATGGTGCTGACTTCACCCTGTGCCAGGTTCAACGAACCTCTCATAACCCGTGGTAGGGAAACTGGTATAAGATTCGTCTGACCGCAAGTAATTTCCTCAAATTCACACAGGAACGCTCTAGCACAACCACTCCACGAATCGCAAGAAAATCGACTCGACCAGCACTCAACAGTATCCATAAAGAAGACAATAATGCTCAAGCAGCAGCTGAACCTACGTGTGGGAGAGTCCAAGCATCTTCATGAACGATGGAAGCGAGGGAACGAATAGAATGCATGATATGCTAGGCTCCACACAGTAGATGGCTGGTCGTATAAAATAAAATAAGTGACAAATAACAGCTACACTGGAATTGATTTATTACGATATTAACACCAGCAATTAAGGACCACAAAAAAGTGAAGCATTTACATTCAGCTTTCGACGTTGATTATTCTTTCAGAAAGACGTGCATTCGACTTCACCAACATCGCATAAGTGATTGGATGAATATCTTGTCAATATAGTGACTCGCAGTGGCCTAGTGAGGTACCGTGTCAACATTGCTATCCTCGCAGACAAGTGTGCAACCAATCTGATAACACAGGATGTATGAAGGCTTGGTAGATCTGGGGAGCAGGGTCGAACCAACTACCACGTGTGCATTGTCAAGCGCCTCCAACCGCTGTGCTGCGTGCTTCCCCCTAAGGATCATAGGAATACAAATTTAGGACATTATATGAAACAAAAATAAAGTAGTAAAGCTGTACTCATAGGTTTTAAAGCGAGTATAAGCTTGTAAAGTTATAGACAGATGTGCAGAAATATATAATCTACATACAGAGTGAGAGAAACAGCTCGCCATCAATACCAACAGTAACCGTTTTAAAGTCAAGTCCAACCACTTTTCGCTCCTGGTTCTGAATATCCTGACATAACTTTCCAACAAGCTCCTGAAAACACTCAGATCTCCACAATGTATTTGATTCAGGAAAGCAGTTCATACCTGAGCAGGTTTTAACGCTTTGACAAAATGTATTCGCGCCAGAGCGTTCTGGTCCAAAGGGAATACGCTGTTGTTGTTGCTCTCTACGTCGCCTTCCTCTGAGCCATTTTCGCTGCCATCCTCAGCTGGACGGTTCTTCACCAGTGTCACCTGGAATATGAAGTCATATTTTCACCTCATTCCTTATGCAGAAACGAAGAACAAACAGATACGTTCTGCGACAGAAGAAAAAACAACATTGATATTTTTACAATGCGAAAGGAAAGTCATGAAATGGAAATAACTTTTTTTCTTTACCTTGTTACTTCTGATGAAAAACAATCCTCTATTGAGCTTAAGAAACTGTAGCAATTCCTTCGGATTCGTCGCAACGTCCTGACGAATTGAATGAGAGAATCGCTGACAAAACCGCTGATAGAAGACATCGAGCGGAATCGGCTGATCTTCGTTCTAAAAATATGCGACAAATTACTATTGTACATAGTCATTATCCAACTATTATTACCCAATTATTATTACCATCTACTATGTCAACCTTTATTTGCTGCCTACTATAATTTTTCCCCGGCAGAGTGTGATGTGAAATAGAACCACAACGATGCTGAGACATTCGCAAAATTTGGACCTCGAGCCAGATCGAACCACAATTACCCTTTCCAGGTCCCCGCGTATTACACACTGCAACACAGACGCCCTTGATTTGCGTTTCTCTCAGCTAGTATTCTAACTAACTCTGCCCATCCATAAGATATCACCCGTCAGCGGGATTGACCTGGGAAGCACAAGTCGAGCTATAAATCCAGTTAAGCTGAGGCTGCCGTCGAAATTACAATGTTGATCTTTTATTATTTTACTCTATTTTTGCCGCTTTATTATAATTTCACTATTATCGTTTATTATCTGTTGTCATTCGTTATTCACCATTGTTTATTGTTTATCACATATTTTATTTATGACTATTGCTGTCCATTATCAATATTTAAAATCGCTTTCTGATAGACTGCATCACTAACCAAGTCCCCACACCCCTCCTCCCACAAAAAATACTGCCTGAAAATTAATTTATCTAAACAGTTTCATTTGTTGATATTAATTTCGCCCAGGAAGCCATGAAAGTAACATAGAATGCGTGGTCAAATAAGCAGTTGTAGCATTTGTGTTGAAAATTCTAAAAAATCAAATTTCGTCCTCCATTCTTTCTTGAGAAATCGAATTCTAAATGAATTTGAAACTAAAGAAACCTTTTCGAAAAGCGATTCGAACCTTGGAGGAACAGAACAAAATGATTCCTTCAATACTACGAGCCTGTCAGGCTGTCAACACCCTAATTGCTCTGGCTATCGAAAAATTACCGACAGCTGTCAAAAAAGTGACATGATCGGCAGTATGTCAAGAAATAAAAATCAGAAAGAAGTTTACTGGAAACTCTGAGTTTACACGCACGTGGAAGCAAAAATAGTTCAGATCCATGTCAGATCCCTTCCTCTTGACTGAATTCTTGAGGAGAGAAAGCCAAAACAGAGTTTAATAAAAGTTTCTTGATGAAGTTAAAGTCAATATCCTCCCACAGGAGACTAAAACACCAGCGCGAAAACTTCTTGAGGCTTTTTGGATAAATGCCAAGAACTCGACAATGAATAGCATGGATGAATGCCCAGAGGTCATACGTGACCTGACCCCGTATGTTCGCATAAATTTCTGATTTGGGATGGAGCAGTCATCAACCATATGCGACTATAATCAGCTGTTCTAAACTTCCTCATCAGAAGTCACGTAAAAAGAGGTGAGTTTTTCGAGAAGCTGTTGATCATGTGATTATTATAGTTTTTTGTATGTGTTATTGAAGCATTTGGCTTAGTAGATTGTATATCAGTGTACCCTTCTAGGCTCTGAAGGAGGCGATTCTGCCGAAACGTCAGCTACTGTTGTATTGAATTGCGTTTTTCTATGGAAGTAAATGTATGTTGTAATAACAACCTCGCGATTGTTGAACAAGAAACGACATAAGTGTTTCTGTTTACATGTTGTTAGTAGCAAATATTGCTCAACTTCATGCCAGATTCTTCCCGCTTAGCTGAATCCATGTCTTTATGACTTCCAACGGTCGAATCCCGCCAATTTAACTATATGCCTCGAGTAGCGCAATGGTTAGATATGGCCTGCAATACAAACAGGATCGCTGGTTTGATTCTGGGCATCAAGTTAACCAAACTTCGCATCCTTCCAAGGTCGACAAATTGGCAGTAGGTTATTGTGGGATGTTAAAACATTAAACCAAACTTCGGCAGTCCTCTTAAAGTCGTTTTATGGGCTAAATGCGATCCAGATATCTTTACGATGTTAAGAATTGATTCGAATGCAAGGGTCATTCCTAAGGGGTTGGTCAACGCCGGATGCATTATGTTCCAACTAAATGCATTTTATTAACGAGTGAACAAGCTTTGCGAAGCAATGAGCGAAATATTTTCGAAAAATCCGATGATAGTTTTATCATGGATTACTAGTTTTACTAAAACACCTGTTCGAGAACGCTCTTCAGGTATTCCACCGCTGCTTGTTTCGCTTTTACACCAGCCAGTGGCTTGCCCTCGTCGTCTAGTTCGATTGCATTTTCATCCGGCTCCGGCATATTCTGAAAGAATACAGCTGGGTTGATGTTGGTCACAACAACTAATGTATTATCAAAAGCGCATGATTGTTGAAATAACATAACAACAGGGAAAATTTCAATTAGTTCTTCAAACTTCCCACGCAAGAATGAACGTAAACATCCAGCAGTCCCGCATAAGAAACTAATAGCTACTAATCTTTACTGTGCCATATTTTTCTCTGGAAAACTCGGACAAGAAAAACAAACAGTGCTTACTAACCTTTAAGCGTACACGATCACCTTCAACAACGAAATGTTCCGTTTGTGACTGTAGGAACTCGCAAAACTCCTTCAGGTGACGACCAGAGACCAACCGTACTTCGGGCGCTGCTTGCGAACGATGTCCCAACAAGGATTTGATCTGAAGCAGCGATAAACATAGAATTATTAAAGCAGGTAACGAAAGATATTCAAAAGTTTATTGAACACATAGAAATTTCTTACTAAAATTCTAAAAGCATAGAAGAAGAAAAATAAGTTGGATAAGTAGTTGAGAAGGAAATCTGACGTAGAATCAATTAACTACACGTTTTAGTACCAGTAAATTTTAAACTAGCACAAATGAAAACTTATGTGGGAACTGAATAATTACCTGCAATTCCGGTCCAAATTTAGTGAGCTTCATAACGAAGAAATCCACAGCTTCTTTTTCATAATCTCGATTCCTAGACGCCGATTGCAGCAATGGATTATTTTTTGCTGTAATATCTCCGAATCCATTCAAAATCACCTAAATGCGTATGAAAGTAGTCCGATGATGCTAACAGCTCCATATGATGAGGCATCAATCCAATGCACCAGATAAATTTTCATTCCTAGAATTCACAGAAAGCGCCAGAAATCTTTCAGAAAAAAATGGATCTCTCATTATAGCGTCTCAGTACGGAAAAAGCCCCCTTTCATTCTCGCTTTAGCAATAGAACAGCAATAAGGTACTCAGCTGAGGATTACGGTAGCAGAACACTCATAACTGCTAGGAATCAATCAGGTTTCTAAGCCACACTTTAACCTACGCCCATTTACCTCCTCTTTCTTTCGGTTATACCCATAAGTTTGCCATCTTCTCATTTTTCCAGTAACAACCATAAGTTTTTCACTCATACCAACAATTTTCGTGAAGAACTAGAACTATTTGTGGATAAAATGCAGTGATTATTTCATACGACGCATGCTTCGCTTCAGATATTAATAATCTGTCGCGCTATTACATTTCTACTGAAAATGCGTGACGAGTGATGATTGATTCTTCCGATTAGCGCGATTAGCAAGATAAAAACTATTAAAACTGGAGAGAACCACTGGTCTTACCTGATCCCCTTCAACGGTAAAAAGAGATGGATGCTGCTGAAGAAACTCAGTAAGGCCTTCTTGCGTTGTACCGACAGCGTTTCGCATCTCTTCGGAAAAACTAAAGCATCCACATCAATTAAAACCACTACCCATATTTCATTTATTACAATGATTCCTCCAATGGTTTATGAGTGTCGGATTGCGATGTACAGCGGAAGGATTTATTCTCCTCCTGTATATCAGAGGGAGATTTGCCACCGTGCGACTAGTTTGATATCCGGTTCTCCCAAGGTGAGAGGGAGTCCGGCGTTTCCACCGAGAAGTCCAGCTAAGAGTAAACGAATACCAGGATCCACCATCGCTCTGGTATCAAAACTGGTCGCATGGTGGCGAATTCTCCCTCTGACCCACAAGTGCAGTGATTGCCTGTAGTGGTGATAAGTTCGAGTAGACTTTGGCCTGGCTCACATCGGGACTCCAGGGAACCATAATGGCTAAACCAGCAAAACTCCGAAAAGTGGGGATTTTTCTGGAATGCGCACAACTAGGTAGGAAAGGCCATCCAAGTATCCAACTAGCTAAGCAAGTATTACATTGATGTTGTGGAAAAGGGGTTTAAATAGGTGCTCAGCTTTGTATGATGCACTATGAATTGATCATTCTTGAAAACTCAAACAGTTTATAAACAGCTTTACAGAAAATAAGGGGCTTAGCATTACTTTTCACGTACAGAAATACCAAGCGATGATCACAAAAAACCTATGAAGTGCATCTTACTTCTCCATGAACGACCTCAAATTCCCTTCGACTTTACACATACTCGATTCTTTTCATGGACTTTTTTCTTCGAAGCTCTTCGAACAATTCCCAAAGCCATATCAGCGCTATTTTCTAGTAATACCATTTCATCAATAAAATGTTTTAAGAAATATATTCCCCACAAGTTTTCTCGAACACATTAAGCACAATAGGGTAGACCATCTGGCAACACCTCTTTCTAGAAAGCCCTTTGAAAAACAAATTCTTATTTAAACAGCAGACCTAAAACATCACGAAAAATATATACACCCTTAAACCTGTTCTTACGAACTGCCCTTTTTAACTGATGCGAGGTTGGTATATATGTTCTTATTGCTGTTGCTGTCGTTTTTCAATGGCTAACGTTTCGGCGACTTCGCCTTCCTCAGAGTCTTAACGTATCATATGTAACAGTAGCCCAACAATTCGGTGAACTACATAGTCTGAGAAAGGTGAAGTCGCCGAAACGTTAGCCATTAAACAACGACAACAACAACAATAACAATCCCAATATTTAACGTTTTGTTTTCTGCCTTCTATAATTTTCATGGCAGGTTACTAAGCGAAATACAACCACAACGTTGCTGAGATATTTGCAAAACTCTGGACCGCAGGTGTCTATGGTGGGGAACGAACGCGCTATTATCCTTTTTTTTTTTTTTTTTTTTTTTTTTGTGATTGCTGTGGCAAAAAGATCGATAGAAATAGCTGAGAGACGTGCGAAACAAAG